AGTAAAAGCATCAAGTAAATATGTGAAAAAATGTTCCACATCACTGGTCATTCTAGAGATGCAGATGAAAACAACACTGAGATTCCACCTCACCCTACAAAGAATGGCTGCTATCAAGAAATCAACCATTTAGCCAAGTGCAGTGGTGCACGCCTGTAATCCCAGCACTGGGAAGGCTGAGGCAGGAGGATCGCTGTGAGTTCGAGGCCAGCCTGAGCTACATAGTGAGTACCAGGTCAGTCTCAACTACATAGTGAAAACCTGTCTCAAAAAAAAAAAAAGAAAGAAAGAAAAAGAAATCAACCAAAACAAATGTTGGCAGGGTTGTGGGGAGAAAGGAACCCTTCTCCATTTTTGGTGGGAGTGCAGACTGGTGCAACCACTGTGGAAATCAATATGGAGATACCTCAGAGACCTGGGATTAGAGGTTTCATTTGACCCAGCCATCCCTCTGCTGGGTATCTTTCCTCTGTTAGTGAATAATTTTCTAGAGCATGATTTCAAGTGAACTTTTTTCTTGAAAAAATAATCATCTGCCAAAGTTCCATGTAATTCCATAGAATAATAGAAATAACAATAAGCCTTTTTGCACACGATTGCTAAGCAAATGGTAAACAGTCTTGCAAGACAGCTCTTAATGTTCAGTGAATGAGTGAGCAGCAGAGCATTAAATTTCCTGGTTACCGGTTAAGTGTAATTACCTCATCAAGTACTACCCCATACAAACCCAACAATTAATATTTTTCAAGCAAATACCTACAGAAGCAACTGGAGTTTTGTATTTTTATAGTGAAATAACTTTAAAGGTACTACTTCTGATTACTTATATTTAATTCTACAGCTCATTTTCCCCTACACCTATGCACATAAAGTCTTGTTCAGTGCAGTATTTCTTAATCAGTACAGCAAAGTAAGACTTCTCATAAGCTCCTATCTTTTCAAACCACTCATAATCAAAATGGTGATCTTAGATTACTGCCACAGCAAAGAATCAAGTAACCTCATGTGGCAAATGACAACTGCTTTTTCCCGTTAAATTTTATTTTTTATTATTATATATATTTTTAGGTTACAAAGTGATAATATATACAAACACACATACACACAAAATACGTAGAATGACTACTTTGAACTAACATATTAGTTCAAGTAACACTTTTTGTGGTGAGATATTTGAAATTTATTCCTAATAATTTTGAAATATACAATGGATTATTTTAGTTACCATGCTATGCAACAGATCTAAGAAAACTTATTCTCCTGAATGGATGGAGAAATTTCATACTCGGACCAATATTTAACACTGGAACTTTTTGTACCCTTTGACCAACATCTTTCCATTCTTCCTACCTCATAGCTTCTGATAATCTTTCTACGCTCTACTTCTGTTTGATTGCTTTAGATCCCACATCAAAAATGAGATAGTGTGGCATGTTTGTCCTTTTGTGACTGGGCTATTTCACTTAGCATAACATCCTACATGTTCATCCTTGTTAGCAAAATGATAGGATTTTCTTCTTTATAAAACTGAAATTTAAAAAACGAAACAAAACAACAAAGCAAAACAAAAACCCTGAAATGATATACCACAATCTATATATACTACCTTTTCTTTGGTTCCATATCTTGGCTACCAGGGATAATGGTGCCATGAACGTGTGTGCAGAGATCTGAACATGTTGACTTTACACCCTTTGTACATATAACCAGAAATAAGACTGTTGGATCAATGTGATAGACCTATTTTTTTAAGAACTTTCATATCATTTTCCACGATGGCTATACTTACTTTCTCACACACAGTGTGCACAGATTTTCTCTCCTAAGGTCCTAACTCTCTTTCTTTTTTATGATGGCCTCACAGGTGCGAAGTAATGACTCTTTTGCGTTTTAATTTGCCATTCTCTGATTAGTGGTGATGAGCAGTTCACTGTTGCCCATTTGTCTTTAGAGAAATGTCTATTCAGGTCCTTTGCCCATGTTTTAATTGGGTTGTTTCCACATTACTGGGTTCCTGATTTATTTTGTGTGTCAGTCCCTCGTTCAATATAAAGATTGAAAATACTTTCTCACAATCCCTAAACTATCTCTTCACTCAGCTCTTTCCTAGGCTGAGCAGAAAAATTTGAGCTTGGGGTAATCATGTGTTTATTTTTGTTTGGTTTTGTTGCCTGAGCTATTGCGTCACACTTAAAAATTCATTGCCAAGATCAATGTTGTCCTAAAATGCTATAGAAGTAACTAAATTGCTTTGCTAAATTGTTACCTGGTGTATTGTTTGTAGCATATGACTGGCAAAACCCATAATCCTCTTGCTGGATCAGTCTTACTCAAAAATGTATGATTAGTTGTCACAATGGACATTAATGTTTGCACACTATAATTTTTAAGTTCTCTATGTACACTGAAGGAATTCTAAAGGTGTTATATAATTCTTGGTCTTGGCATTACTAAATTATGTGCTTTCTCCCAATTAGTTAATTACATTGGCTTAAAAAAAGAGGGGACTCTTAAGTGTTTGCCTCCTAATATACCTTTCTGGCAGAACTAAGCTTCTTCACAGAAATACTGACTTTTTCGGGGGGGAGGCTTTAATTACCAGGGTCACTGTGTTTTAGTTGAAGTCTTCTGTACAGACTGGATTTGCTTTGCTCTTACTGGCTTGTTCTATGTCTGATTATAAGCTTTGTGACCCTTTGTCAAAATTTTAATGTTTCAGACTTCACAACAGACTCTAGACAAACTCAGCCTAAGAGCCACTCTGTCTGAGTCTCTGACACTGCTCAGATTTGGCAAGTTTTTATGACACTGACTAATCCTGCAACATCCCCATGAAAAATGTTCTGGTTGACTATCAGGGAAAGCTGTTTCACACAACAAAGGGTCAAAGCCAAGTCCACACAAAAACTTGCACGAGTGTTACTAGGACCCTGAAAAATGGTCAAAATTTGGCAACAAGTCCTTCAGTATAGGTGAGTAAACTGGCATGTTCAGATACCGAGATATTTATTGAGCCCTAAAAAGAATTGAGCTATCAAGCCAGGAAAAAGGCAGAGGAAAAAAACATAAATGTCTATCACTAATTGAACAAAGTCAACCTGAAAAGGCTAAAACACTATATGATTCCAACTTCTAGAAAAGGCAAAGCAATGGAAACAGTAAAAAAAAAAAAAAAATTAGTGTTGGGTTGGACTAGGAGAATGCAGAGATGAGCAGGCAGAGCAGAGGACTTCCAGGGCAGCGGAGCAATGAACCCAGAGAACTCAGGACACCAAGAATGAAGCGTAAGGTAAAAGCATGGGCTCTGGGTGAAATGACAGCACAGCTCATCAGTTTAACAAGCATGCCAAACCTGATGGGAGATGCTGACAAGTGTAAGGGGGCACAAAATGTGAGAATGCTGTATTTTCTGCTCAATTTTGCTATAAATCTAAAGCTGTTCTAACAATAAAGCATTTTTTAAAATATCTACTGGTTTGAAAAAAAATGGGTGAAATCCAAATGAGGTCTACAGTTTAGTTAATAGTGCAAAAGCTTCTAGTTTATAACATACAACAGTTAAATAGAGCTATCAATGCAGGAAGCTGGGTGACAGCAATGTGATATTTTACATTTTTTGAGTCAAAATAATTCATTTTAAATGAGATAAAGCTTTGTCAGATGATGGTTATTTACCAGTATTACATTTTTTGTTTTGCTTTGTTTTTGGTGCAAGAGACTGAATTCAAGGCCATACATATGCTAAGCACTGAGCTACACCTTCAGCTCCAAGATCTGTAAAGATTTTAATGCTTTAAATTATCTAGCAATTTTCTGGAGGTATTAATTTTACTAAATTTTACCTGTTTTTAAATCACATTGTGACTGTTCTTTAAAATATGATAGACCTAATTTCTAGGTGGCTCAATATGTAACTGCTGTAAATTTCAGACACTGCAGAAGATAAAGTTCTGGATTTTAAAAAAAGCCTATTAATTCCCTTCTTAGAAGAGTACATTATAAAGAGCAATACATAAACTCTACTGGACGATAATATCTGACAAATGGGATCCAAGAAATAATACAGACCACTAAACTCAACTCTTACATGCCCACCACACTAGCACAGCTTTTAGTCATGACAAGTAAAAAATAAACTTTTATTAGCTTTTCAATTCTATATAACTTACGCAGAAACACATTTTTATCCCATAAAATATCTAATCATCTCAATAAGTTTATCTTCATGGTACTATAGTTCATGAAAATGAAACTTATTCACTGACAAATACTTAATTGTAAACAAATTAATTTATACCAAACAAAAAAACAAAAAACTACATGACAATTTAAATATTTAAAAAGATCAGTGCATTTGGACTGGTTAACCCCTTACATTATCATTTTTTAATAAGAAACCAGTATCAAAAGATGTTATTATAAAAAAAATTTTAAATGAAAGTTAATAATTTCAACACTGTAGTGATTCTATTTTTAAAAAAGTAAAAATTTTCTAAAATGTAATGTAAAACAGCAAGGTTACATGGAAAAACTATCACACACACACCTCTACTTTTAAAAACAAGAAAAATGACCTCTTTAATTATGTACCCAAGGCTTAGGATAAATCCTTGGGAAAAAAATCTTTTTTGCAATACCAGGGATTGAATTTAAGACCTTGCGCTTTTCAAGACAGGTAAGGTGCCATTGAACTAAATCCCCAGCACTCCTTGCAGATTGTTACAACTCTTCACACAAGTAGTTTAGTAGTGAGTACTGTATTAATGAAAGCTTTTAAAATTTTATTTCCTAGCTCAACAAAAAATGATAATGCTTTGTGATATATATGAATCAAGGTCATTTTTATCAGTCATTTCTTTGAAAGAGGGGGAAAAGGCAAAATCCTACAAGATAAAGCAAATTATGAAATAAAGAGTAACCACAACATTCTCAAAGTAGAAATGTCTTTTATTTGAATTTTTTTTTGTATTAGGGATCAAACTCAGGACCTTGTGCTTGCAACACAGGTGCAGCTTCACTGAGCTAAATCCCAGGCCCTTTTATTTTAATTTTAAAACAGTGGGCTCCTAACAGACCCGGACACAAGGGAAAACAGAATGAGGCAGGAAATGGTGAGAGTACACAGACTAAAGTGCCAAGGCAATCTCCACCTCGGCTTCAGGTTCTCCTTTGACTTCTCACCAAGTATGAAGACAGACTCCTCCTTCTGAGCAAAGGAACAATAGGAAATAAAATGGAAAAGTATCACTATGTCCCACTGGCATATCCTACAAAAATGGAAAGTTTAAGGATAACTATACTTCCTCCTAGAGCAACCTAAGGGAAATCGTTTAAACAAATCTTTTAACTCTAATAAGACCACTCTCTTTCAATACAATGGTCTAAAAAGGGAAAAGCAGGTAGCTTTTAAGTTTCATGCAAACTGAATATATTCATGCAATAACTTTGCAACTACCTTTTAAATATAGGAAAGAATTCCCCCTTAATCCTCCAGAAATCTCATGTAGAGGGATGAAAGATATTACCCATATTGCAGGTGAAAAATCAAAGTAGAGAAAAGATTACATGATTTGTAAAATAGGTTTCGCAAATATCATACTGGGAACAAAGCCTAACCTGCCCCTCTACAAGTATGTAATAGATACTTTAATAAATATCAATGAAGTCATTAAATACTAAACTTTATCTTCTCTTCAACATAAATTAGAGGAATGGGAAGCCCTTGATAAAAAACACTTGAAACCACAGGGGCCAGAAATCTAACAAAGTGGCAGAGTTCTTATCTCCCATGCATGAGGCCCTAGGTTTGATACCTAGCACCTCCAAAGGGAAAAAGAAAAAAATTCAGAATCCTTACTCTAGAATTCCTTAAATTCTACTTTTCAACCTTTAATAGATACACTAATTTAAAGTTTCCAGTTAAGAAACCAGTTACCAATGAGGTGAGACGAATCCTGGGAAAGTCAACCCGCTGAGGAAACTAATGAAGGGCAAAGACAGGAGGCTGGGTCCTTTATAATGCTGTTCAAAACTATAATGATTCTGGGGCCATCTACCTCCAGACTTCCTGTTGGGGGTAGTCAGTAATTATCTGGCTTTCTAATTAAAAGAAGGAAGGAGGAAGCAAAGGAGAGAAATAAGTCACAAGGTTTTACACAGGATTCATACAAATATCTTTTCTTTTCTTGGAACACAACCTGGTTGAGAAGTTGAGCCTTCTAAAGACCCAGGTGTGAACACTGAGCTATGAAAATACACAAAGCTGAAGTATCTGGAAACATTCGGCTGCCTGTAGTCTTCTGCAAGATCACAAAGTGCTCAAAAATTCTTTGACCTAAAGAAAGGAAAATAGTATTTATATATATATATCCTTGACAGATTTAGGGTACTGATATTCATCTTTATTTGAGAGTATGTAACAGCTGAAGACCCCCACTGTGTAAGTAACTCTAACACAATGCCATAGCACTCACAGTACTTTCCAAAGAAATATCATGAAATACTTCAGCAGTAAAAAGAATGACCTAAGAGCTCATGTGAGGAGCTAATTTATATAAGACTGATGCCATCCTGAAACAGTCAGAACTCTAGCTGTATAATCTATTTAAATATCATACATCAGCAGTACCTGCAGCTTTAATACCATTAATAACTACTTCAGTTTAAACGACTTTGCAGATTAAACATGGTAGATTCGCAATGTTCCTAAGCCACAAATGTAATCGTGTACTCTAACAATGTAAGTGGTGGGCAAAGCTATGTAAGCACAATCCAAGACTCTTACAAAAAAATCAGCCTGAAAAAACAAAGATCATTGCCTTGTGAAATTGATAGTTGCTTGTTAATACAGAGACAATTTTATTTATTTTAACAGTATTATAAGTGAATTGTATCTGTATTTTTAACGCCATTAATAGTAAAAAGAGGCTGCTTGACACATGCATTTTCTAGATACTTTACATGATGGGGAAAACATCCACTTATTACAGCAATGTAAAATGCTGAGGTTTCAAAACATCCAGACATATCCCTTACAAACGGATGTTATGTCCTCACTATCATAAACAGCAGACATTTTATAAAAGAACAAAGAAAAAAAATCAAGTTTCTCTCAAAACTGAAGAAAAAATTAAGGCTCTTCTTTAGATTTTAGATCACTAAGTTAATTAATGCAGGTATACAGATATTTGTTGTATAATTCCCTTTACTACTGTCTCAAATGTTCATCAACAGATTCTCTATTTATGCCTTTATCATATCATGGTACCATTCAGAATATGATCAACTTCTCACTATTTGAGGGCTAAATTAATTTTGATTAAGACAATGACTCGATGACTAAGCAGTTTTGATTCACCTTTGACATGTTTCCAAACAAAATTCAAAAGTAAAATCTCTTAATCTCAAGGCCTCACCTAAAAATAGATGAAAGCCATATCTTATAACTTTAAATATATATTCCATAATGAATTTATCTATAAAAATAAACTTAATTTTCAGTTTATTAAACTGTTTATTATAAAGTTTACTATTAAAATATTTAGATACCAACACTTTAATTCCATGGTAGGTAGGGAGGGAAGGAGGGGGTGAAGGGAGGGTGGGGACAAGGAGAAAAAATGAGAACCAAGACCTGTCATGTAAAGGTACAAGATCCCAGTGATGAATGTAACTGTACTGTATACCTAGAATGTACCAATAAATTCAATTAAAAAAAAAATTTAGACAAGAGCTGGGGATTTAGCTCAGTAGTTCCACGGCCTACCTTGCAAGTGCAAGGACCTGAGTTCAATCCCCAGTACCAAAAAAAAAGAGAAGGATAAGAAAGAATGCATTACTATAATTATTTCTGTCTTACAGACAAAGAAACAAAAAGATATAGGTCTTTATTTGAGCTCAGGCCACAAAGCTGGAATGTAAAGTCAGGTTAGAATCTAAACTGTGTAGTCTTCTGCAGCCCTTAACCACTTCTTAATGTAATTTTTTTTTTTTGGTACTGGGGATCGAACTCGGGTGGCTTGTGCTTGTGAGGTAGGTGGTGGCTTAATATAACTTTTGCAAGCTCTTTTGTCCAATAATTTTCTCACAATTTAGTATACTTTTCTAGACAAAACATATAATAGTTTATGTCTACCTCTACCTTTTCAACTAGACTTTCATGATTGTCTTTGAAGTCTTCATTAACATCCAATGTTAAGATAGGCACCTCCTGTAGATACTCAAAGTTGGTTCTGTTTAAAAAAAAAGAAATTTACAAAATCAGACAAGTGATAAACAAGAGAAAAACATCAAAAACTCATTCTTATATCATTGGAAAATCAAAATGCTGCCAATCACTTAAGTTATTTTGCAAGTAACACAACGGACTGCCCCTCCCTTCACACGTGGATTTACAATATATAAATGAGAAATCTTAGACACAATAAGTATGTAAAACTAGACAGTGTAACATGATGCTTCTCAAAGAAAGAAATCATATGAAACAGAAATTGCATTTGAAAGGTGAGGTGGAATATCGATGTGGCTCAGTGGTAGAGCAGTTCTCTAGTATGAACAAGGCTGAATTCAACAGCCAGCAATGCCAGAGACAGACAGCACACTAAACTCAGAAGTCACCCGAGGCTCCAAGGCTGCCCAAGATCACCCACTAAGAATGAGCCTACACTGAGCCACAAGCTGACTAGTGACAATCCACATGATTAACCTAAAAACTACGACACCTACCTCACAGCCATGATCTAAGAAACAAGTCTGATATATACATATTCTAAGGTTTCCAGTAAATGCCTGAGACTGCATGTAGGAAACCCCATACATAATACAGATTTGTTCCTGTATATACACATACAAATTTAATCGCTCTTCTATATTAAAAGTGACTTTTAAAAATTAGGTTGAGAATGTTTAACTTTTCCACATAAAGGTGGAACTTATGGCTTCTCTTTGGCAGATGTGAATTCCAGTACCACTCACTACTCCTGTGCTTTGGGGCCACTGTGAAGGAAAATCAGGCCGACCTGATCACAAGCACTGTGCTCTGTGAAAGTTGATCTAATACAGAGAATGCTGCAAGTGGCTCTCAGATGATACTATATGCAACATGGATATGCTGGGCAAGGGCTGATTCATATCCTGGCTGCACCAGACGAGGCGGGTTAGGACAAAACAACATAGGATTCTAACACACTACTCAGAATGCTAATTCCAACTATATTGCCCAGAATGGTTGGTCTCAAACAGCTAGGCTCAAGTGATCCTGCTGCCTCAGCCTCGCAAGCAGCTAGGACTATAGATAAACCCAGCCTGGTGACCAATTCAAAACTTACAAATTGTTTATTTCTGAAACTTTCCACTTTATGTTTTCACACCAAGGTTACTGTTGATACTTGGAACTGTGGAAAGTGACACTGCAGGCAACAGGGGGTACTGTATCATAGTAACTCGTCCACCTGAGTACTGGCACGTAACATACACAGATACGCTCTTACTCATCACTTAAGTAAGTCCATGTGTTATACTCTCAATGCTACTAGGAGATACCAGTTATAAAATCTTGAGAAGAAATGACATTTTATTGTACTTCACTCAACCCATACCTAATCCTAAGAGACATAAATAAATAAATGGCTAAAAATTAAAAAACATTACAGGTTGCCACTCACATCTTCCAACTAAGAGACTAGAACCTAATAAAGATGTTGAGAATGAACAGCATTAGAAAGGAGGAGGCTTACTTCAGCGTCCTATGCAGGAGCCAGCTTTCATGCTTATAGTGCAGCTTCTCTAAATATTCAAGAGGGATACCTTGCTCTTCAGTTCTTCCTCGTGAATGTATCCTACTCAAGCATTTCTAGAGGTAGGAAAATAAAAGCACAGGGAAAAATTATTTGCTGTTTGCTTGTCTACTGCCATCAAAATTTTCTAGTGTCTTTAGTGAAGCTAGCCAAAATATGTTCATTCCCTCCAAAATAATGAAATAGTTCATTTTCTCCTCCATTTGCTTTTTCTGTAATTTGGTGGCTAAGTAAAATTTTGTGGCTTCTAAAAGTCAAAATAACTTGTTTTTCAGTATCCACACATAAAACAGACTAACTGATACAGGTTTGATAGAAAGGCAAAGAAAGTTCATAAAACATCTACTTAAAATTTTCAGAGGATAGCTAACAGGTGTGTCACCTTTGTTGCTAACCAAACTTGACTGTAAAACATCTGTTCCATTAATGTAAAACTACTAAAGGCTGTGGCTCCTAATATGGTGAAAGCTCTACACCACCATGACCATAAAGAACTTTGGGATGTTTTATACTACTTCCCTTGTATTATTGTAACTTTTAAGCACTGTGATATGGCTAGCAGGGTGAACAAGGAACTGAATTTTAAAATTTTATCTGATTTTAGTAACTGTAAATAGGCACCCTAAACAAGTGGCTCTAGATCATTTCCCTCAGGAATAAATATACAAAATTATGCACATTTTGTAGGAGTTCATAGACTCTTAAAAATGCATTCATGCATCCAAAGATATAAGAACCTCCATGGGGCCAGGATTTAGCTCAGTGGCACTGTGCCTGCCTAGCATGCACAAGGTCCTGAATTCGATCCCCGGCATACACACACACACACAAAAAGCCTCCAAGTAGAGAAGCACTTGATTAGCACACCCAAGACCCTCAGTTCAATGCCCAGACCCATGAAAGAAAGGAAGAGAAAGAAGAAAAAAGAACTTCCCACCTGAATAACATACATTATTTGTAGATCACAGCATATAAGTTGTACTTCAATCTCCACATCGTGAGATCAAAATTCACTGTTTAATTTTTTAAGTTTATTACAGCAAAAGACTCAATGCCATTAATGTCCCTTAAAACACCTCCCCCTCACTTCAAACACAGCTATCCTATCACTGTAGTGCTTTATGAAGCAGCTCTGGAGTTGCACTGCCACAGCTACCTCCATGTCTTGGACTGTTCAAAATTTTCCCTTTCACAGTCTTTTTGACTCTGAGGAAGAGCCAGAAGTCACCTGGACCAGATCTGGTGAATACGGAGGATGAGAAGACACCATCATGTTTTTAGGAGCTGCCATTCCATTAGATGGCACTTGGCGGCAGCAGTCGCCATATTTTTTATCAACTCACAAAGGTATTCACAAAAATAGGACTCCAGAACTTCAGAAAGTGGCAAGGATGATGGGATGGGATAAGTGTCTGAAAAGTAAGGGAGAGGGCTTTGTAAGGGGTTAATGTGTCTTTTAGTGTACTTTTAAAAATTTAAAATTCACCCATGTTTTGAGAAAAATTTATAAATTCTCATTTCAAAAATTAATCATCTAATTAAGATATAAAAACAACATTGATGAAATAAAATAGTTTTGTGTTAGTTTTTAAGGTATTGATGGAATATTTCCAACAGAATGAAATCATTAGTGTTCTTTGTTTTTTTGCAACATGTGTGGGTACTATTTATGTAATTAAAAGCAATTCTTTTCAAAAATAAAAATGAATTTCCAAATTATGCTAAATTCTGGCTTATTTGACATGAAAAATGAAACAAAATCATCCTAATTTCTTTGCAAATTCAGTTTCAATAGTAACACAGTATTCTAACAAATTTCAGGCTAGAAGTTATGACATTTACATTCATCAGAGCCTACCTTGTGTCTTACCAAAGAGGAAAAAAAAAGAAACAATGTCAATGCAAGCATCAAAATCAGAAGCTTCCTATCGAATGTAAGATATTATGGAGATTAGTGTTAAAAAAGGTATCCACTTGATCTTCCCAGATTCATTACATAATATAATATATAAATACTTACTGTTACAACCCATCACTGAAAGGCATATTTTCAGGAAACTTCCCCTGAACCTATCTTTCTGTCTGTCTCTCTCTCTCTCAGTAGTGGGGATTGAGCCCAGAGCCTTTGCAATGAGATACATTTCCAGCCCCCTCCCCTGACGCCCCGCACTTTGGACAGGGTCTCGCTAAATTACTAAGGTTCCCAGGTTAAGCTTGCAATGCTCCCGCCTCAGCATTCCAGAATGGGTGCACCACCATATCCAGCTTCTAAGTCTGTTCTTTACTGTAGCTGCCACTATACCCTCATAACAAGTCACAAACAACCACAAAATCTCTCTTGAAATGAATATTCACCAACCTTGCCATTCATTTAGCAAATGTTTAACAAGTTCCTACTGTATATCCAGACTCTGCTGTAAGTAAGCACTCGAAATTCAACAATAACCAAAACACCCAAGTCATGAAACCTATACTTTAGAAGTTGCTTAATGTTCCTTAGTCTAGCTGTGACACAATGAGAGCCTGCAAAAGTCAGGAAGAAATAAAAATGAAAAATAAAACAGAACTGAGGAAGAACAGGGAAGGGCCTACAGGAGCAATTTTCCAATCTGGGCTTCTAGTTTGCTGAGAAGATAGAATACTTTTATATTCACAGTTGTGGGTCTAGCAGCAAGGAGGTAATGGTGGCTTCAGTACAGACCACTTTAAAGAGTTCTAAATATTACTTTAAATTTTCAAAAGAGCAAACAAATCTTTACAGGGCCTCACCTCTGGAGCAGCTCGAAGATAAATGATTCCATCCAGTTCAAGACTTTGGCCAAATTGGTTATTCATCCAGTCATGCCAGTCTTGATATATTGTCCACTCTGTCTCATTCATGCAGTCAGATTCATACAAATTAGATGCAAAAATGTACCTGGGAAAGAGTCTTCATTAATACATCATTCCAGGGGCAGAGGAATCTACTAACTAAAAATGAACATTCCCCTAAACCCCAAGTCAGACAGTCCCTCAGAGAGCAGAAAACACAAGAGCCTCTCCACCTACAGGAAGAGTGTTCTTGGATGGCAGCGCTCAGACTATGAAGACTCCTGAAGTCCGGAGATGCTTCCTGAGGTTCTGGGAGGCCAGATTACTTCATATACTACTATATTTCAAGCATAAAAAATACAGACTGAATATGGGCACATAAACCCAGCTGTCTTTTATTAAAACACAACTTTTTATCACAAGTAAATTACGTTAACATGAATTGTTTTCTTTAAAACAGGGTCTCCCTAAGTAGTTTAGGTTGGCCTTGAACTCACTATGTACCTAGGCTGTCCGAAGTCCAGTCTCAAACTCACAAGTCTCCAGCCTCAACTTTCCTAGTGCTCAGGTTACAGGCGTATACCGGCAGGCCCAGCTTCCCAGCTAATTCCTACCAACACAAATAGCAGCAAGATACAAAGTGCTTTGGACTCCTTAATAACTATTAAGAATGGAAAGGAGTCCTGAAACAAAAAATCTGAGAACCCCTATTCTGAGCTCCTTTGGAGGTCAAAAGAATCCCGGCATATACACAGCAATTCTAAGGCCCCTTAAGAAATGCTTATCCCCTTGGTCCAGGCAAGGGTACAGGTCCAGATTTAACCAGAGCATACAAGAATTTTAAAAGGGTTGGAGGAAGAAAAATCTCCTCTGAAAATTTTAATTAAACAATCATCTTATTCTTCTTTATAGTTTTCACAGAAGCTAAAGGTTACGAATGCTAGAACTTCTCGATGCCCTTAGTACTAGAATGCTGAAGGTATGAAATGTAATTTCCTATCTTAAGTCCCCAATTCCTTTTCTAAAACTATCTGTGGTTCCCAGGAAACAAGAAAAAAGGAAAGAAATGAGGAAAAGAAAAAGGATGTCCAGTTCTAAGCCATGACTCCAAACAGCCAAAAATAAGTCATTTATACATACCTGTCACTATACACAGATCGTTCAAAAAATAGCACAGGTTTCTCCGCATCTTTGAGTTTGCCATTGACAGAGGCGAGCTGAGCACGTATTCGACTGAGACAAGCATAGGATTGGAAAGTAAAAGACCATCGTTCAGGTTTTGCATACATCATCTGAAGAACATTCCCACCACTTTTCTGAGAGGTTGTCAGTTCCTAAATTGAATTTTCAAAAAGAAACAAGAAAATTAATGATCAATAGTTATTTTTACTTTCTAAAGGCTCAATAACAGAAGTCACATAAGTGCGTCATGATTAGTAAAACCAAGATGACTGAATCCCATTCCTCATTCTCTTTCCCAGTGTATTTTTCAGGTTACCTGAGGTTGAACAAATCTTTAGCTCTTTCTCTCAAGAGGTCACAAACGACCCATGTAAAAAATTATTTGGTCAAAATAAAAAGTTTCGATTAGCAGCCAGGCATGGTGACACACACCTGTGATCCCAGCACTCAGGAAGCTGAGGCAGGAGGACTGCCACAAGTTCGAGGCTAGCATGGGCTACAATAGTGAATTCAAAAACAGCCTGAATGACATAGTGAGACCTCATCTCAAAAAAAAAAAAAAAGTCAATTAGTTGTCAATATTTAAAAGCTAAATAAAAATAACTGGATTTATATATTCTTTTTAAAAACAGAAAAATCAAGCGATATGGAGCTTGCATTTCCTCATGGAAAAACTGGTTAGTCAAGTCACATGTGCCTCCCTTAAGTGAGATGTATGCTCCCCAGTTTTTCAGTCTCTGCCCTTCCCTACTGGTTCTTTAATAGATCCTCAGTGACCCATGAGAGATCCACATCCCGTTGAACCAATCATAAGTTAAAAATAAGCTTGAAATGCATTGATTGCACAGAACCTACCACACATAGCAGCTTAGCAACCCAAGACAGGAGGGCAGGTGCTTATCCTCACGATCCTGTGGATGGCGTGGCTCACTGCTGCCACCCAGCACCACAAGCAGGTATCACACTACATTCTGCTCTCTGATCAAAAGAACTGGAGTAGTTTCCACTGCATGTACATCACCTCTGCACCATCAGAAAGTCAGAAATATCATCAGTGGAGCCATCATCCATCAGGATGAGTGGGGCCCATCTGTATTCAGTTAGTACCCAGACCTTTTAAGCACTCATACTTGAGTTTATACTCCTATCTTCCAATGTGACAAAGCAGATCCTCCTCAAAATTTTGTTTGTAATCATACTGTTAGAACTACTATTGTTCTGCATAACTAATATTTAATAAAAATAATGATACACTAAAAAATAATTTCCCTGGCTCTGTCCATTAAAAAGGCCTTTGTAAGAAAAGTATAAATATCATCTAGATTATGGAATCTAAGTATTTTTCAATAAAAGATACTCTGTACCTGACTCCAGGTCTGGAAAAGGAAATATACAAAATAAGCTTCACATATCTTGTCCCAGCAAATAAGAAAACTATCAAAGACTAGCTGGAGTGGGTGAAGGGCAAAGGAAGTGGGATACACAGGCTTCCAAAAGAATGGAAGACAAAAATTTCTAAGTTCAGAATACTTAAAAATAACAACAAAAACAAAACTAATCACGTTTAAGAGGATGCTAAGGTACTAATTAATTATTCTAGAAAGTCATATATGAAAAGAAAAACAAACATGGAGCATTTTATTCTAGCTTTTTCTGTAGACATGTTCTGTGGATAATGAAGGACTAGATGGAAAAGGGGTGTTTTTACTAAATCTAACAGATTCAGAAGACTTGAGAAAGAATATCATCTTTCTAACACCTAATGATATATTACATTGAGGTAATAATTCACAGTAGATACTAAAATAATTAGCAAAATGTTGACAAAGAAACTTTTTTGAGACAGGTCTCTCTAGAATGGCGAGATGGGCTCAAAGCCTTCCCTGCTTTAACCATGGAAGAAAATAGGCAGAGAAGGACCTTATCTCATGTAATAAAAGCTACTTTTGTCCAACCTACTACCAACATCAGTAAGTGGGGAGAAGTTGACAGCTTTCCTTCTAAAATCAGAAACAAGACAAAGATTAAGATGTCTGCTATCACCACTCCTGTTCAGTACAGTTCCTGAAACATAAGCCAGAGAAATCAGGCAAGAGAAAGAAAAAGAATAGGTATAAGAAAGGAGGAAGTCAAATTATTATTTGCAGATGACACAATCCTCTACATAGAAGACCCAAAAAAATTCCAGCAAGACTCCTAAAATTAATAACCAAACTCAGTAGTGTAATAGGATACAAAGTCAACACACAAAAATTAACAGCATTCCTGTAGATCAATAATAAACTTAACAAAACAGAAATTAGGAAAACAATCTCTTTTATGATAGAATCAAGAAAAATTAAGTATTTAGAAATTAACCTAACCAAGGAAGTGAAAGACCTCTACCATGAAAACTATAGCTCTTTTGGGATTGGGTCCTTGTCTGGCTTTGGAATCAGAATTATGCTGGCTTTCAGAAATTACTTAGGGAGGGGCTGGGGATTTAGCTCAGTGGTGCCACCACCTGCCTCGAAAGCACAAGATCCTGAGTTCAATCCCTTGGTCCACACCTGCCAAAAAAGAAATTACTTTGGGAGTACTCCTTCCCTTTCAATTTCATTCAACAGTTTGAGAAGTACTGCATTGGCGTTAAATCTTCCCTAAAGTTCTTACAGAATGTGGCAGGGCATCTCTCAGGACCTGGGCTTTTCTTTTTTTAATCACAACTTCAGTCTTTTTCTCTGATATTGGATTATTCAGAGGTGCTTGTTTGTTTTGGTACCGGGGATCAAACTCAGGACCGTGCACTTGCAAGGCAGGCTACGGCACCACTGAGCTAAATCCCCGGCCCTATTCAGGGTTTTTATATATTCTTGGTTCTTGCTTTGATAGTTCCTATGCTATCTAGGAATCTCTTCATTTCTTCTGAATTCCCATTTTATTAGAGTACAGGTTCTCACAGTAGTTCCTAGTAATATTCTGGAGTTCCAGTTACATCTGTTGTGATTTTGCATGTTTCATTTCTAACTGCATTGATTTGGGTTTTTTATTTCTTTATTTTGGCAAGATTGGCTGAAGGTTTATTTTATTTACTCTTTCAAAGAACCAGCTCTTAAATTCAGTGATTTTGTGTACTACTGTTTTAGTCTTGATATCATTAATTTCTGCTCTGATGTTTATACTCTCCTTCCTCGTACTAGCTCTGGGTTTGCTGCTGTGTATGTTTCTGTTTCCCATTACACCAGGAGGCCATCTTACATGATGTTAAAACTGATCCATTTCCTCAAGCATTGCCAGCCTAACTCATCCCAAACAGATCTCAAGGTCCCCCAAGGGTTTCTCTACTACACTCTGCAAAAACTGTCATATATAATGTTCATCTCTACAAAGCAAAAACTCAATAAAAAGATATTTAGAAATCTACAAATTCTATTAAGTAGCATCTAAAAATTATTCTTTTATGTCATTTGACATGTAATGATGACTGCTTCAAAGGTATTAAGAAAATAGTTTACTCTAAGCCAAACCTGAGTGACCTGGGAGTGTGGATTTGGGTTATCCTGAATAACAGTTCTGCCCTGAAACAGGGTACATGAGCTTTTATAGCCACAGAACACAGAAAGCCATAAGTTAAATGTTTGGCAAACACACTAATGGGAGCATTAGATAAGAGGCAACGGCAAAGCTAGAAACTCCTTCTACTTGTTTCAGATGTTATACCATTCTTACTCTAGGTTGGCGGGAGGGAGCTGGAGATCTGAGCTAAGGGATGGTTCCCCTATGTTTTTGTTTGTCTGCAAGTGCTGCGGACCAAGGAACTCACTGTGTATGCTAGGCAAGCACTACACCTCTAAGCTACACCACAGCCCTATTCCAAAAGTTTCACCTAATAGTTGTGAGGATGTAAGGTCAGATATAAAGGTTGAAGGTAAAGGTTGTAAGCTATTACCTTGACAATAACAACCCAAGAAAATTCTGACTTCCAACCTACAATTTTAATGTACAAAAATCCTAAACAAGATATTAGCAAAGAGAATGCAACAATCATCATAAAGAGGAAGTCAGAAAATGGAAAGATACCTCGTTCCTAGATAGGAAGAACCAATAATAGTGAGAATGGCCATACCTCCACTTTTATACTAATCAAAATACCAAAAGAACTAAAAAAAAACCAAAAAACAAAAAACTAAAATTCATATGGAACAGGATAACAAAAGCAATGCTGGACAACAAAAGCAGCACAGGAAGTATCATAATCCTAGACTTCAAGTTACACTACAAAATGACAATAATATAAACAGCATGGTACTGGCACAAAAACAGACATGTGGATGAATGGGACAGAACAGAGGATGCACAAACAACCCCAGGCACAGTAGGCTATTTGATCTATTTGAAAAGGGCCAAAAACATACACTGGGGGAAAGATTATTGAATGATGCTGGAAAAACTGGCACCTACATGCAGAAGATTAATCTAGACCATCTCACCATTACTAAATTACAATCAAAATGGATCAAGATCTAAAAGTGAAAACAGAAACAATCTGCTAAAAGATAAAACAGGTAAAACTCTTCGCAGGCATGGTGGCTCACACCTGTAAATACCAGTACTTGGGAGGCTGAGGCAGGAGGACTGCTGCAAGCTCAAGGCTAGCCTAGGCTACATCATGAACTCAAGGCCAGCCTGAACTACACAGTGAGATCCTGTCTCAAAAAAAAAAAAAGGTAAAGCTCTTTAAGACAGGCACGGGCAAGAACTTTCTGAAGCAAAGGCACAAGAAATAGTACTAACAATATGCACCGCAAAAGAAATAACTAACAGAGTCAAGAGACAACCTACAGAAGGGGAAAAAAATTGTTGCCAGTTACTCCTCAGGAAAGGACTAATAACTATATCATATAAAGAACTCAAAAAACATAAGCCCTTCCCCAAAATAGAAGACCTGATCAAAAATGGGCAATTGAGGCTGGGGATTTAGCTCAGCGGTTCAGTGGCCTGCCTTGCAAGCGCAAGGACCCAAGTTCAATCCCCGGTCCCAAAAAAAAAAAAAAAAAAAAAAAAAAAAAAAAAGGGCAATTACAATGAATTAACATATTTCAGAAGAAGTACAAATGGCCAATGAAGATATGAAAAAATGTTCAACATCTCTGGCTATTCAAGAAATACATAT